TCTTGAATTAATCATGTAAATTTTGACCCTTTTGGTATAGGGTGTGAGTAATGAAGCTAATGTTGATGTACCAATGGCAAACAATGCTACTAAGTTGCATAATAGTAATGGTGAGGGTGGGAATCTTGGAAAGAAAAGAAAGGGTATACAAAAAAGTTTAAAGGTATGGCTACACTTCACTACATTTGATGATCCAGTTACTGGTAAGCAAAAAGCAACATGTAATTATTGTGAAAAGGTGTTATGTGTTGAACCTAGGAGAAATAGTACTTCTACCATGATGGTCATGTTGAATGTTGTTTACAAAACCCTAGTAATTTGAAGAATAACACATTGTTGAAGTATGTTAGTAAAGTAGATGGAACTAAGGTAGTGATTGATTTAGGGACTTGGAAGTTTGATGAAGGTGTAGTGAAGAGAGCATTGGTTGAAATGTTAATTATTGATGAAGAGTCCTTTAGCTTAGTTGAAAAATTAGGCTTTAAGAGGTTTTGTGAAGTAGCATTGCCACCAACTTTTAAAATTCCATGTAAGAGAACCATAACTAGAGAATGTTATAACATCTATATAGAACATAGAACTGCCTTGAAAACTTTCTTCAAAGAATCAAATATAAGAATGTCATTAACCACTGGCACTTGGACTAGCTTACAAAGAATCACTTATATGAGCTTGACTACTCATTTCATTGATGCCAAGTGGAAGTTACATAAGAAAATACTCTGTTTCTGCCTTGTTAATAGCCATAAAGGAGATGAATTGGGAGATCTTCTTATTAGATGTTTGATAGATTGGGGGTTAGAGAAAATTTATGCATTAACTGTGGATAATGCATCAGCAAATGATGGACTTGTGAGGGTTTTAAAAGATGTAGTGAACAAATGGGGAACTACTATTCTTGGTGGGAAAGACATTTACATGAGATGTGCAACCCACATCATAAAACTGGTTGTTGGTGAAGGTACCAAAGAGAAAGAGATGAACAAGTTTGTGACTGCCATTAAGGCTGTAGTCAAGTATATTAGGCAAAGTCCTATGAGGTTAAAGAGATTTAAGGAAGCTTGTGAATAGGTAGAAATTGAATCCAAGAAGCTATTGTGTTTGGACGTCCAAACAAGGTGGAATTCACTTTATTTGATGCTGGACACTACTGAGAGGTTTGAAGAAGCTTTTGAGAGGTCACTCCAATTTTATTTTTTTTATATTTTATATTTTTAATATTTTTAGTTAGAAATCTTAGCTATATATCTAATGGTTGCATTTCTTTTTCCTTTTTTTTTTTTTTTTAAGATATGTAAGACAAGACCCAAACATGAAGAATGAGTTTAATGATGGCTCGATGATCCTGGATTCCCTTCTTGCATAGATTGGGAAAATGCAAGAAGATTAATCACATTTCTACATCATTTCTATGAGTTGACAGGGAAGGTCTCTGGAACCTTGTATACTACCAGCAAAATGTATTTTCCCGAGTTTAGTAAGGTAATGTATTTTCTTTTATAAGCAATACTTTATTTCAATTAAATGATAAATTATAGATCTTGCTAAATTATGTTACTTGTAGGTTGATCATATGCTTAAAAATGGGAAAGGGATGTCGATCTTCATGATCTTGCTAGTAGAATGAGGAAAAAGTATAAAAAGTATTGGGGGAATCCAAGGGAGGTAAACAAAAACATATTCTTTGTCGTGGTGTTAGATCCAAGGTATAAAATGGATTATTTGGAGTATCTAATGTTAAAGATGTATGGTTGTAAACTTGATGGTAAACTTGATGATGATGGACCCCTTTATGTTGCCATGGTCAAATGTGCGATGGGAATGTTGTTTGAAGAATACAAGAGGTTGAATTCATCTACTGTGAAATCAAGTGACTGTTAATCATTTGATGAAAAAAGAAGCAGCTCTACCTCTACAACCAATATCCAAAGTGTGGTAGATCCAAAAAATAAAGTGCAAACATCCCAAATGAGGTCTAATTACAAGAAGTTTAAAGCTGCCAATGGTAGAAGAGCAGAAAAAACAATGCTGGAAAAGTACTTGGTAGAAGATCCCAAGGGTGAGAACAAAGATATTGATGTTCTTCAATGGTGGAAGAGGAATGAGCATAGATTTCCAATGTTAGCAACCATGGCAAAAGATGTCTTAGCAGTCTCAATATCTACTGTTGCTTCTAAATCAGCATTCATCACTGAAGGTTGGGTCCTTGATGCTTTTTGATCTCCATTGACTCCAAGAATGGCACAAGCTTTCATTTGTGCACAAGATTGGTTGAGAGATAAGGCTATTTCTGATATGGAGGAGGAGGATTTGGACAAATTGGATAATTTAGAGAAAGGTAATATATTGTATGCAAAATGTTGTTTCTTTCAAATTCAATTATTTACTTAATTATGCAATTAAGAAAATTTCAACCATGAAACTATTTTTTTAATTGATTTTACAGGGTTTGATAAGCTTCATTTGGATTCCACCATTCTTGAATGAATGGTGGATTTATAAATGGTAAGGTACAAGGTAAATTCCTAAACAACTTTAAATTATGTTAACTTCAATTAAGTAATTAAGTTGACATTTCGGTAAGCTTTTTAGTCATTTCTTTTGCTTATTTTTAATTTCAACTGACTAAATTTTATTTTTGCTTACTGTCCTAGATGCAAGTGTACAAACATTTTTTTGTCAACTTAAAATTAGATGATGCTATAGGTTGTGGCCTACATTGTGTATAATGCGTTTTTTTTGTCATGTGGTATTAGTTAGACAAGTTTTCTTTTGGACAAATAAGTTTTTTTTTTTTTAGATAGGCAGGTTTCTTTTGGACAAATAGACTTTCTTTTGGATAGTTTCAAAGTTATTGAGAGATGGCAATTGGATATAACATGCAACTTCTGTTAAGGAAGAATGGTGATTTTCTAAACTTAAGTCACTTGGTATTTGGTATCAATAGTAGACTAGTTTAGCTAATGTTTATGTTACAACTTAGGCTTGTTACTTTGTTACTACTCTAATTTGTCTTAATGTTTGAACAACAGAGTTTGTACTTTAGTAATAGCTTGTGATAATGCATGCAATGTAGGTACTTGAAATATATGATATTTCTAATTCCATTTGGTACTCTATTATTGGTTTCTTTTTTGTCAATTGAGTTTACTTATTTAATGTAATTGCTATGTTATGTTGTTTAAAGATCTTCTTTTTTTTTTTTTCTACTTTAAGGTAGAGATTTTGTAAATTAAGATGGGTTTGTTGAAATTAATTGGATTGATGCTGTAGAGATATTATGGGTTTATGCATTCTATTAAGTTATCAAAAAAAGTTGAATTTTTTTGCCTGAAATTCTAATTTTTTTTATAACTTATAAATTTCTTACGCTTTATTTTTTGACATTGTGTGATTAGTTTTCATGTTTTGTTGGAAGTGAATATGTTTATGTTGAGTGCATTGTTTTCTTGTTTCTCTTGGATTGTTTGATGGAGTTTTGTTTCAAGTTTGGATTGGTAAACTAGTTTTTAATTTGCTAAGTCCCAAATAAAATTTATTTGCTATTAATTTTTATTGTTCTTTTTTTTTTTTTTTGAAAAGCAAAAGCGTTTTATTATTTGAGTGCAAGGGGTACTCAGACCCATGAACATCAGTATGTATGACTAGCCGCTAATATTGGGGGCTAATATACAAAAATAATAGACTTCAAACAAAGAAACTATAAACTAGCTCCCCATTAATCTCTATCTCCACTAGTGAGGCATCTCATTGGGTTAGAAATCCATTCCATGAAAGAGAGATTTTCGAGATTCAATGGAGTTCTAACCCAATGAAATGAGCAAATTTGTACAAGTTCAAACAACTTATCCTCCTCATGCTTCTTGTGTTGAAACCCAACTTCATTTCTACTTAACCATAATGACCACACTATGGCAAACCATAACATGTTCTAGCCTCTTTGTAGTGATTTTGAGCCTTTGTGCCATTTGTGTTGGTGAAAAGTATCAAGGCAAGTGTTCACTAGCACATATTGTAACCCCCACCAATTGAAACATCTAGTCCATAGTTTGTAAGGGGTGATGCAAGACACAAATAGATGATCTATGTGTTCAAGGTATGACTCACACCAACAACATTCAGTAGTTTGATTAACATCTAGAATTCCACGTCTTGCCAAATTAACCTTTGTAGGGATTCTATCTAAGAGTAATTGCCATGAAAAAGCACTCACTTTTGATGGGACCTACACACTCCACAGCTTTCTATATTCCAACATCCTATTATTGTCTCTCCTTGCGAGATGCTCGTAAGCCGACCTTGTAGTATATTTTCCTCCTACTTTTAGCCTCAAACTCCAAGTATCTTTAATGTCTCGCATTAGCTTTTTGTTTTCTATGGCCTGAGTCAGTTGTTGCAGATTGTCCTCTTCCTATGCTCAAAGTGGTCTTCTCCAATGGAACTTGCATTCCCATCTCCCCTCTATCCAGTTTCCTTTATCATAGATGCTGCAATTTTTATCTATAGCCAACAAAAAGAGTCTAGGGAAAATGTTAGCCATTGGGACTCCTCCCTCCCATACATCTCTCCAAAATCTAATTCTTTTCCCATCACCCAAATTCAATTTAAAGTTAGAGTCCAACCACCCATCCTTGCTCCCTATATCTACATTCAGTTTACAAACATCCTTCCACCATGATGAGCCTATACCCCAACCCTCCCTCATCCATGCAAAACAATTTCCCTCCTTGCCTCCATATTTTTCCATTAGTACTCTAGACCACAAACCTTTCTCACCCCCTATCAATCTCGCCCACCATTTGCCAAGTAAGGCAACATTAAACCATCTTAGGATTTTTACCTCTAGTCCTCCCTTTTTTTTACTACAACATACCTTATCCCATGCCACCCATGCAATCTTTCTACCTTCCTCTGTCCCCCCCCCCCATAAGAAATTTCTCCTAATTTTATCAATTTCACAAATTACCTGTTTAGGGAGAAGGTATACCAACATTAGGAACACTGGTAGACTTGATAGCACAAAGTTAATGAGGGTGATTCTTCCATCAAGAGACAAGTATCTTCCTTTCCATACTGAGAGCTTTCTGCTGAACGTCTCGATTAGAGGTTTCCATGTGTCTATTCTACTCGGATTTGCACCCAATGGGACTCCCAAGTATTTGCATGGGTGGGATCCAATTTTACAGTTTAGCAACCAAGCCATTTTTCTTAACCATTCTTCATCAGTGTTGACTCCAATTAAAGAACTCTTCCTGTAATTCACTTTCAAGCCTGACACCAATTTGAATGCCCTCATAATGCATTTGATTGTCCAGATGTTGCCTTCAGTTGCCTTGCCCAAAAATAGCGTGTCATCTACAAACTGTAGATGGCTAATTTTTAACTCCCCTTTTCCAATTTTTACTCCATCGTAAAAGCCTTTTGAAATAGCTGCTAAAGTAAGTCCATTCAAAGCTTTTGCGACAATTAAGAATAAAAATAGAGATAATGGATCACCTTGTCAGAGCCCCCTTGACATTGAAAACTCTTTGGTGGCACTACCATTAACTAAAACTAACATTGTATTGGACTTTAAACATTATGATATCCACCCCCTCCAGATTGTGTCGAAGCCTATTCTCTCCATCATGTAATCAAGAAAAGACCAGCTAACATTATCATATACCTTCTCAAAATCAATTTTGAAAATAAAACCCTGAGTCTTGCTCTTCCTCACCCCATCAATGGTCTCATTTGCTACAACCACTCCGTCAACCAATTGTCTTCCCTGAATAAAAGCAGATTGGTTTTCTCTTATAATGCCATTCAGCAAAGCCATTCAGCACTCTACTAAGTCTATTTGCCAACAATTTAGCAAGGATTTTAACATGCAGCCAATTAATGAGATAGGTATATACTGCTCAATACCTTGAGGGTTCTCTCTCTTTGGTATCAAAACAACAAAGGAGGCATTAGAACCCCTTACTAGTCTTCCATTTCTATGAAAATCCATGAGAAATTCCATGATGTCTGCTTTAATCACCTCCCATTGATTCTTTAAAAACCCGAAATTAAAGCCATTTGGACCTAGTGCCTTGTTGCTGTCACAGTTCCCTACTGCTTCTTTAACTTCTTCTTTTGTAAAAGGCTCGGTAAGCATGCACTTGTCAATCTCTGATAAGGTCTTGAAGTTCAGCCCCTCCAAAATTGGTCTTGGCCATCCTTCATCAGTAAATAAATTCGCTAAGTACTTCATTATTCCTTGTTTTATGTCATCAACTTGCTTGAACTCCTTGCCTTCTATGGAGATTGCATTGATTTCGTTCCTACGCCATCTCCCCTTAATGCATTTGTGGAAGTAACTGGTGCTTGCATCTCTTGCTTTTAGCCAAATTTTCTTGGCTTTCTGTTGGGCCATCTCTTCTTTTAGTTGCATGTTCTTCAACAACTCAGTATAATGAGAGCTTCTAAGAGTAATGTCTTTAGTGGTTAAACAGCAAGTTTCTCCTTTGCTATCCAATCTATTTATCTCCTCCCTAGATTCCTCAATTTTTCTGTCCACTTCTTGTAAATGAGACTTTGACCAAACCTGAAGGAAGTCCTTTGTCATCTTCAATTTCTCCTTTAAGATGAAACCACCCTATCCCTGAACTTTAAACTCTTTCCATTTTGCTGCAATCATATCTCCAAACCCAAGAGTATTTAGCCAAGCATTGAAGAATTTGAATGGCTTTGGCCCCCAATTCCATGCCTCGTTCTTTACTATTATCGGACAATGATTCAACAGAGATCTCTGAAGTCCCCACTACTTCAAATCAGGCCATCTCATTAGCCAATCTTCATTAAACAAGTATCTGTCCAGACGGCTCATACAATGACCATTTGGTTAACACCAAGTGTACTTCCTTCCCAACAATGGTAGATCCAACAATCCATTATTCACTATGAATTGTTCAAAATCCTTT